TGTCTTGTAGTTTCATCAATTGTGTGCTTTAAAGTTGCAGAGAACACGAAAGCCCGAAACATATGCAGCATTTCTGCCAGCGTTTTCCCGCCACCGCTTCCCTCGGCGTCAAGGCGCCAACGCCGCCAGAGAGGGTGGCAAACCATATGAGGAGCGCCAAGGCCAGCGTCAGCTCAGCGTCGCAGATTGTGTGGAAAAGAATGAACCCAAGACCTCGCAAAGCAGTCTGCAGTGTCCGTCAGTGCAGCAACAAGAAATATTCCTCAGAACTGGTTTTATGTCTCATTTGCAAATTTCAGTTCTGAGGTGAGAAAAATGAATCACAATACCACCGAAAGATTTTTTTGCGTCTAGCACCAGCTGTTCAGAATAGGAAGAACCGGAAACTCGCAATATACGGCCCCTCAGCCTGGAAGTTCTTGTACATCTTTGAGGCCACGTATTCAGCCAATACACTCAGGCCTGCTAACCCTACCAATGGACTTGAGTATGGCACTCGAAAATGGTTCAAAGAAATCCCGAGCTCTTCTGTCAAAGCTTCTGAGGAACAAGCTTAGTCGAACACAAGCATCAGTTCAGAATTTTCGGGTCACACAGAGCACGGCGACGACTTTATAGATCTGAGGCGGGTGGCAGCCATTTTGACAGCCGCAAACTATGCTGTTACGTAGTGGAACTCGCTGGCAGCCGTGCGCTGATTGGTTCTCCATTCGTCGATTTGCTTCCGGCGTCAGCGCCAGCGCTGCAGATATCTGAATTTTCTGAATCGTCCAAAAGTGGACGTTTCGGCCACAGTCACCGGCAGCGTCGGCGCCTCGCTGCAGGTGACTTCGCTTGCTGCATTGGCCGCGCTGGCGAAAGAACGCGCTGCTCGTACTTAAGTAACTATTATGACAGTTGTCCGGAGGATTGATTGATTAGTGGGGTTTAACGTCCCAAAACCACCATTTGATTATGAGAGACACCGTAGTGGAGGGCTCCGGAAATTTTGACCACCCGGGGTTCTTTAACGTGCACCCAAATCTGAGTACACGGGCCTACAACATTTCCGCCTCCATCGGAAATGCAGCCGCCGCAGGCGGGAATCGAACCCGCGACCTGCGGGTCAGCAGCCGAGTACCTTAGCCACTAGACCACCGTGGCGGGGCTGTCCGGAGGAAGCAACAAGAGGAAGAAGGCAGGGTGGTTAACCAGAAAGACATCCGGTTGGCTACCTTACAATGGGGGATTACGGAAGGGGACAAGAAAGATGAGAAAGAGAGAAGAGAGAAAAAAGAAAAAAGGGGAGAGAAAGACAGTAATTTCACTGCACTGTGTAGAACTCTACCACATTTCTGAGGCGTTCACACAAGCCTGTCTTTTTCAGGAAACACAGCAGGGCTTACACTGCCTTTTGGGCTGTTGAGGCATGCGGACGTTCCTGTAATAGCACCTGCACAGAAAGAGGCCGATCATCCAGTCGCCGCAGTGCGTTGGTAAATACTTGTCTATCTGAGGCAAATCGAGGACAGTGGCACAGCAGGTGTTTGATATTTTCGTCGGCGCCGCAAACATAGCACGCCGCACTGTCAGTAATTCTGATTGACGTGGTATAAGCTTTCGTGAATGCAAATCCCAGCCAAAGGCTATAGAGAGGCCAAGCTTCACGTCGATGTAGGCCGGGTGGAGGCCGGAGTTGTAGTGAAAGGTCAAGCTCATGCAGTCTTGTACGTCGTATGCTTGGTGCGCTCCATTCAGTCAGTGTGAGACTGCGGGCCAGTTGCCTTGCCGCCTCCGCTCTTGAAAGCGGAATAGGAACGCTGTTCGCTTCTTCATGTGACGTACGAGCAGCATAATCTGCAGAATCATTTCTACCTATGCCACAATGCCCAGGTAACCACTGAAAGACGATGTCGTGGCCTTTTTGTATTAAAAGGTGGTGAAGTTTCACGGTTTTGTAGGTTAACTGTTCGTGGCATCTGTGTCGGAGAATTGATAGCAGGCACTGTAACGCTTGTTTCGAATCGGAAAACACGGCCCATTTACCTGGTCTTTCTTCCGAATTGATGAGTTCTAGTGCACTGCGCAGAGCCTCGAGTTCTGCTGTCGTTGACGTTGTCACATGTGAAGTCTTGGAACACCGAGTTATCCCTTGTAATGGTATAACCACTGCTCCACCTGAACTAGACGGCGTAATTGAGCCATCCGTGTAAGTGTGCACGTCGTTACTGTAGTTTTGTTCCATCAGGAATAGACTCAGATGTTTCAGGGCAGATGGCGGTAAGTCCGATTTTCTCCTCATTCCTGGAATCACTAGGTGAACTCGTTGCCAGCTCAAGCTCCAAGGGGGGAGCAGTGGCTTTGATGCAGGTGCGTACGTATCAGTAAACGATGAACGATGCTTGTAGACTGTAGCGCCGTAGGTCGTGCGGGGCCATTCAGCGACTAAACTCGCCAGGTGGCGAGAAAAGACCCTGGAATAATGCCTGAGGTGCATGCGCATTGTCTCGGTAATAATATGCGTCTTTTTTGAGTGATCTCGAGGGATGGCAATGGTTTCAGCCGTTGAAGCACTGCGGGGCAGTTCAAGGCATATCTTAAGTGCTTGGGCTTGAATGCTCTTAATTGCGCGCAGGTTGATCTTGCCGGTGTTAGATATTGCAGGTAAGCTGTACCGTAAGAATCCGATAAACAGCACTCTGTACAGTTGTAGCATGGATGATATGGGCACTCCCCAATTCTTTCCTGCAAGGAATTTGCGCATGTGGTATGTTGCGATCAGCCGCTTGTTCACATAGTTCACGTGTGGAGTCCACGACAGGTTTCTCTCTATTATGACTCCCAAGAACCTGTGGCGTCTCCTGAACGATATGCATTCTTCATTAATCGATATGCTGTAAGCAGACATTGGTTTCCGCGTGAATGCTACCACTGCACATTTTCCGCAGGACTCCTCGAGGCCTTGTTTACGAAGGTAGCATGACGTCGTTGTAGCAGCCTTCTGAAGGCGGGCGCGAAGCTGAGGCCTTGTCACACCTGATGTCCAAGTGCAGATGTCATCAGCGTAGACAGAAAGTTCTACAGTGCTAGGTAGCTGCTAGACTAGTCCAATGAGAGTTAGATTGAAAAGTATAGGGCTTAGCACTCCTCCCTGAGGAACTCCTCGGCTGCTGTATTAATCAGGTGTTGGGCCATTCACTGTCATCACGTAAAATGATCTCAGCTGTGAGTAGCTGTACACCCACATCTATATCTTGCCAGCAAGACCTACTGTTTCCAAAGCACTAACGATGGCTTCATGGGTGACAATGCCGTAAGCCCCCTTAACGTCTAGGAACAGGGCGGCGCACAGTCTCTTACAGGCTTTCTGGTGTTGAACATATGTCAACAGATTAACAACGTTGTCGATGAACGAATGGCTGCGCCGGAATCCGGTCATGTATACTGGATAGATTTTGTAGAGCTCTAAATACCACTCCATTTGTGTTAGAATCTTTCGTTCCATTGTTTTTCCCACAGAACTGGCAAGCGCGATAGGACGAGGAGATTTACCAGCCTTTATAAGTGGAATGAGGCGACTTGACTTCCATGCCTGGGGAACCGTACCAATCTGCCAGAAGTCGTTGTATTGGCGTAAGAGTGCCTTCCGAGCTTCGTCTCCAAGATTACAAAGACACGATAAATAATGCCAGTTGTTAGTTCGCACTCATGCTTTGTATACCGTGCGTTCTTCTTTGTGATTTACCAGAGTGCTTTAAGCGTCAAGCTGGGGCAGTTGTTAGCTCACGCTCGTTCTCTGTATGCTCTTTTCGTGGATCCATGCTGTTTGAAGAACGTGCTGCAAGTTTCGATTAGCTTGTTCTTATTCTTGCAGCATTACGATTCCTTGCTATGACATTCATTCCTTCAAACTTGGTGCGAAACAATGCACATAAACCCCCAAGTACCTCTTTGAAGGCACGTTTCGCTTTCTTTCTGTACTGAATATTATGACAGAAAGATCAGTCGTGTGTTTTGCCTCAGCAGTGCCATTACCTTGCAAATGTGCAGCCAGCTGAAAGCTTGTACGCATCATGACTACATTCTTTTTACTTCGTATTTGACCGGCTATACGCGCAAGGACTACCACCACAACTAAGCACCACGTCGTTCCACAATAAGTGCTCGAAAGCGCAAAATCAAATCCCAAGAATGTACGCCCACTCGAAAAATAATGATTGATGCTGAACCTCACTCAATTGAGGTTTCTGGTTTTTCGATAAGACAAGAGGAGTGTAGATACGTCTAGTGTGTGCTTTTTGCAGAGAACCCTTGAACTCTCGTGCTTACGTTTTATATTTCTATGTTGTACCTGCGCTGAAAATTTATCGCATCAATGTCGCATGCTGTGAAGCTGGCAGGGAATCATAATCGGAGCCACACACAATAGTAACTTCACCTCTTTTTGCCAATGTCACCTAGTGTGCCAGGAAAGGCAACAACGTTTATTGTTGCGATACACTACCGACATAGACAGCAAGATTCTCGCAATCGATTGAACCATCCGGCCGACCATTCCAACGTATCGTCATGGACATACTGGCGTCTCTTTTGATATCACGTATGAAGGATAAAGTGATGTGTTGAACACTGTGGTCTTTGAGTGCACCACCCACTATATTAGAACAAAAGCACCACTGAGTGGTACGGCTGACTATGTAGCAAGTGTCTTGTAAAAAAAAAAAGTTGCTCTGCTGCAAACGGGCAACTCCAGAAGGGTATCTCAATTACTCAGGAGCTAACTGAAGCCATTATGTGCTCCAGCTAGATGTTGTAGCGAGTGCAAAATACTCCCTTACCAATAAAACGAGCAACAGATAAAGCAGCCTTGGTAATAAAAATTTTTACACGTGGTTTTCCTATAATTTTTTTCGCATTACACATCACGTCTGGGACCAATCGTGCAATCATTGTTCAACTTTTTATTTTCTCACAAAATCAAAACATTGTTCTTGCGATGAGAAAATACTTATTTAGCTATTGGTTTGCAGCAAGTGGGCTTGGGGCGTTTAAATGGAGGATCGGCAACTGCAAAAGAATTCAAGTAGGAATCAGCTATAAAAATATGAGACCCATAAAAAGTTGAGCGTAGTCTAGCTCGTTCGATGTGTTAGAAGAAAAGAAAGAAAAGTTTTAAGCTCATCTTGTGAAACAACACACCATTCACAATCGTGCATCTCTAACTCTTACCGTGTCTTTAGACAACATGCTGTTTTTCCACTACCACTTACTATAGCGGCAGGCGCTAAGCGCTGTTGCTATGTTAGCGCTCAAATAAACAATTCTGAGGCCCAGCAGATGTACACATTTTAAACTGACATTCGGAACTACTGTAATCAGTAAGGCCATTTCTTAGTGAGTTGGAATCTACGCACATGAAATTGTTAATGCTTCAGTGTCTCGGTCACTTGTAGCATGTGATGTCATTTCGCTATCTTAAGCCACGTGAATTGCACCACTGCGTATTCTTGATATCAACCTGACCTTTGAATACACTTACTGAAGAAGTTTTGAGTTGTAAGATAAAAATATCATTGGTTCGTGGTTGTTAACAGAGTACGCGTATAGTACGTATTTATGTTGCATTTAGCAAATTTAGGACATCTGTAATGGTGCGTTGTAACAGTGCTGGTGCCAAGAAATAGAGTGAGAGGGGGTTAGAGAAGAAATAAAAATGACCCATCATTTTTTATAATAAATAAAGGAACGTGGCAGAAGCCTGCGTTCTATATAGGAACACCAGAGTTTTCCGTGAAAGTCACGTTCCTCAGAACTCGTACTAAAGTGGCCAGTGGAGGAAGACAGTAAAGGGCACGCGAAAGCAGCAGAAGACACAGGGGATACAATGACGCTTGGGGTGGCACTTATAGATGCGGGGCGTCGGCGATGGTTTAAACAACAGCATGTGTGAATCTCAGCGTCACTACTGGTCCATCGCATCTGCTGTACAGCAACGCCAGTTTGAGAGAGGAGCGTTATTATTCTTCCTGCTGTACCTTGACTTTCTAAAAGGCGTGTTAGTAGCCTTTTCTGTTTTACCTGGCTAGATATTTTGTTTCACCCGTATAAAAATTTTCCCTCCCGATGAGAACACATGTGTAGAAAGAAATGTTTTCTGCAGACCTCTTTTCTGATAAACTATAATGTGGTGGTACACATAAATTTATTTTGAAGTATGAGTGATGGTCCTGCTTCTCTAATAAATAGTAAATATGTCTTATGGGAATATTTCGGGCTGGAAATTTTCCCACTGATACAGCCAAAGAGCAGCCACGGGCCAAGGAGAGTCCTTGCAGAGCCATTGCACTTGGCACAACGGCGTGAACTGTCAGACAGGATTGTGTGCTTTTATTTTATATAAAAATATTGGCTCTCCAGGTGGCTTCGGCCACCTGGAGGGCCGATAAGCACAGCTAATGTTTCTCTGGTATCAACTGGTCGTTGTATTCGCTAAACCAAAAGCACAGGACAAGTCAGTCATCTTTTTGCAGTCAACTAACGAATCAGGCTTCATGAAAATTGGTTTCTATTCCAATGCCGAGGTTTCGCGATACCGCCTTTCTACTAAAATAAATGAAAATCAAACGTTTTACTTAAATTTTACGACGCCATGTCATTGGGATGTCCTCCTATAACCAACCGCATGCAAAAGCGTGTTAGACACGTATGAGCTGGCTTTAAAATGGTCAGTCTAGTGCATCGCTATTCCTTCTTTGGGTCTACATTGGCTGTTCTACTTCTTCTACGTTTTCTTCGTCTTTTACAAAGCAACAGTGCCGATTGATGACGGATGGTGGTGCCATTGTATCACGTTATCATTTCAGGTTATGTTGACTATTCATATCTCAGTAGGTTTGATGTCATTGTGGCATTATAACATAACGCCCTATTAACATGGCTGTGCACATTACCGTATTACATAATTTGTGACTTTGAACACGATACATTTGTACCGCTGTTGAGCTTGTACCACTGCCACCCAAAGATCCCCTTAAACCACTGCGTTAATCGTTAAGTTTGGAGTGACGGCCGGAAGCGCAACACATCAGTGGGTCATACTGAACCTACCACACTTAAAATAAAATAGCACGTTGGGTTTATCGCTATGCTTTCATGAGTCATTCTTACTGGAGAAATTATAAGACATCACAGCAGAGGCAAGAAAGGTACACTATAGGCTTCGCTTTTCTTTGTTTTGTACAATGTGAATGATGTGAAGCATATGAAACATGGTATACGGAAATCATAACAGTGCCTCAGTCACTTCTTATTCTCGGTCTACAATAAAGCACGTATCAATTCAAATTGCCTACTCACTTCCAGTCTTAAAAGCATGCTGCTTGCTACCGAGTAACGGTGTAGCACATTGCACTGCTTCTCAGAGCAAGTGAATTAAATGTGTCGCTTACTTTTCACCAAAATAATTTTAGAACAATTACTTACCGCACCAGCACATGCATTGGTTGCAAGCGTGAATGCACTCATAAGGACCAAACGGCATAGTACAACCAGCCGTGGCTTTTACTAGAAAAAAAAATAATGTACTGTCAAGATCATTTAAGTATAAGGTGGAGTTTTTTTTTTCTATCAGCAAAGGTGAACTAGTATTCTACACGTGACGAATTTTGCGTATTTCCTGGATCCATGGAGTGGGCCACCGTTATATACTTTGTGTAGAGCTTGAGATATTCTACCTATGGCGATGATGGCCTGCAATTTTAACGCTTTGCTATATGCGTTGCAATCAAAATCTTCAAAAACCCGGGGTGGACTGAACAGGTTGCTCAATAAAGAAACGTTTGTGAAATCACCGCAACTACGTTGAAATCATTGGTTGTGTGAGGAACATGAATTGCTTTACAGTTGGCGTCTTCGAAAACACCATGCCACTGTTTGAGGTTGTTTGGGATATACGATACAAATAAATGCAAAGTTGAAGATGTGTCATTATACACCGTGAGATTGTGTTCGCAATCAAATTTCAAAATATCAATGATCGCATCACTGAAAGGTAGACGGAAAAGAGCACCTACAGATGAAAGAGATTGTTCTTCAATCGCGGCTTCAAATGGCCTAAGACGAAAGCAGTCAAGAACAAAATGCACACTGTGAAGAGTGAACGGAAGAGAAGTACTGTACAGCTTTTGTTTTAAGCTTTAGTGTAAATTTTTTTCATATTTTCAGTCAAATTTTATTGAAAAAATTCCAGAAACGTGAGACTAGTTAAACTACCTTACCCCAAAGGCTTTAGTTCAACGTCAAAGGCTATCAGGTAAAGTTTCAGCTAACCCAGCCGTATGGCGCCAAGAGAAGGAGACAGAGCTCCACAAGAATCACTTGATGGGAACGTCTAAAACAGAGATATGAGTAACACTGAAGTAACTTTCGTTCTCCTCTGACAATTTTCCAAAGAAAAATAAGCGCAATCTAGTTTTAGAGGTGTAAAACGCTAGTGGCATTCTTTTCAAGGTCGAACAACCAATAAAGTTGCTCACTTTATGGAGCATTTTCCTAATGTCAGTTCAGGTGTTATGCCTATGACAAATCTTGGCAAAGAATACATGACTGCCGCTCGAAATAGTAATGACTCGTCAGGCTGCAGTCACGAAACCAGGTCATGGCTTGCACAAAGCAGGCATGATTATAACGGTCTCATCTATCGCACTAGTTGAGAAAGAGGGGACGCTAGATTATTGCAGACTCGCATCAAGTAAAATGCGTTACTATGGTGCTAATTGACTCACCTCGATAGCTATACAAAAGCTAGAATGGTTATTGGTAAGCCGTTTGTTTAGGCTGTCGCAGTGTGTTGGGCGCAACACCATCGTGTCCTCTTTTTTCATATCTGTTTGTTGCACAGCCTTTTACTACTTTTACAAAAAAAAAACAAATTTTCCTTTACAATGAACAGTGTGGCCAATCCGGTTGCGGGTATGAGTCAGTTTCCCTCAGTTGACAAAACACAATAGGTATACATTTAAGCTTCACGTTCAATCCTTTAAGGGTTCAACGCGGTATCAATATGTTGTCCCTGGTGCGTATACTTCGAGTACGTAGTGTATACTGCTTATCGTATACTGTTACTTGAAAAGTAAAGTTTGAATTGCAGATCACTACAATCGATAAAGCAAAAAGTGGCTTGTGTCAGTGAAGCTTTCGCATATGGCTGAATTCTGTGAATTAGGTAGCATGCATTCAATGACGAGCCACTACTCGTGTGAAATTTTTTTTATCTTCCTATGCACCCACTACGCGGTCTTGAGGAAATACGCGCGCAGTAACGAGTGTGCTTTTTGTTATAGGTGGTCGGCTTTTGACCACGAAGTTGGTTTAATGACCACATGTTCTGTCGCCCCCGCGCAACTTACGTTTGAGCCAAGTAATATTACTGCAATATTACATGGTGTAGTGTGAAGCCGGTATACATGATGTGTCTTTTTGTATAGCGCGAACGTCTTTTCACTGCATTTCAAAGCGGAGGCAGTTGACTGACTGAGCGACCAACTGACTGAATCTATTTGGTCCTTAGAAGGTGATGACCCCATAAGAGGTCCGGTCTACTAGACGGCCATGTAATTAGCCCTCTGGATGGCCCGAAGTTGGTCAACTGTATTTCCAAGCAGAGCCATGGCTCTGTGCAAGAAAACCTGCTTGCCACGCAAGTAATTTTGGTTAGACGCGGCGGTCTTTAAATTATCTGATCTATTTGCATATTTCTTTATTTTTTCGGTCACGCGCAAGATGATGATTTTGCGCTCACAACAAACTGCATCTCCGCTGAGGCCGACGACAACGCCGGAATTTCGGCGACACAAGTTCTTTAACACTACCGCGTTAAAACAAAGCATTATTATATCCAGTCGTTCATTGCAATATATGCAGCGAATGCTTCTTCAAAGCGTTACCCATGGAAGCACTGCCTGAGCCTAATAAGTAAACCCTCTAATACTGATGTAAAATCGTGGAAAAATATTATGGTAGAACCTTGAAAATAAAAAAAATATAACTGTGATTTTTATTATTACTGACCACATTATTCTTACCACATTTGCAATGACATCCGTCTCCCCACTTTCTCATACTTAAGCAAGCGGGCCTTTGTCCGCATGGGCAGGATGGCTTCTGGCAGACCGAGAATTCTGAAAAGGGAGACAATGCAAAAATTAACTCAAAAAGGCTTCTTTGATTGAGTGAAATTATCACCCTAAAAATGATACATGATATGCAGTAGCATTATTCTTGGGTAATTAAATTTGAAATAAGCAATAGCGAGAAAACAGTTACAATAGTTGCCGACTACTAAAAAAATGATAGCATAATCAAGGAGTGAAGGATGATTAGTGGGGTGAATCTTCGGAGGGTTTTATCGTTAAACCATGAATCGTGCGTCTGACCGTATGCCCATGCATCCGTCCGTCCATCTGCCTGCCTGTCTATGTGTGCGTCCGTACGACTATCAATTCGTCCGTCCACGTGTCTGTCTGTCTGTCTGTCTGTCTGTCTGTCTGTCTGTCTGTCTGTCTGTCTGTCTGCCTGTCTGTCTGTCTGTCTGTCTGTCTGTCTGCCTGCCTGCCTGCCTGCCTGCCTGACTGCCTGTCTGTCTGTCTGTCTGTCTGTCTGTCTGTCTGTCTGCCTGCCTGCCTGCCTGCCTGCCTGCCTGTCTGTCTGTCTGCCTGCCTGTCTGTCTGTCTGTCTGTCTGTCTGTCTGTCTGTCTGTCTGTCTGTCTGTCTGTCTGTCTGTCACTCGTCACAGTAACTCGTCATTAGAACCTGTCACAGTAGAAGGACAAACCCACTGCTTCAGGAGCTTTAAAAGCCCCCGCTAAATGCGATGGAGTCTATAAACATCCCCTAGATTATCCTTGGCATGACTGTCTGTAATTAATTTAATGTCTAACAAAGAAGCGAACCCTTCAATCTGCCCCGCCGCGGTGGTCTAGTGGCTAAGGTAGTCGGCTGCTGACTCGCAGGTCGCGGGATCATATCCCGGCTGTGGCGGCTGCATTTCCGATGGAGGCGGAAATGTTGTAGGCCCGTGCGCTCAGATTTGGGTGCACGTTAAAGAACCCCAGGTGGTCGAAATTCCCGGAGCCCCCCCACTATGGCGTCTATTATAATCATGTGGTGGTTTTGGGACGTTAAACCCCAAAAATCAATCAATCAATCAATCAATCACTCAATCAATTAAACAATCGACCCTTGAATCTGCACATCTTTCCTTCAGTCATAGCGAGAGTGTCGTTTTGGCAGACTTGGTGCCTTCAGGTATTAAACGAGGGATTATTGGTCAACTTGGCCGATCCTTCTAATGACAATCGGTATATAACACGAAAGTGAAAAGTGTCTTGACAGATATAGTAGAGCGTTTACTGAGCATTGTTTCAGCAACAGCAACAGATTTCAAAATCACGTTAGGAACACCAAGCAGCTCAAAACTTTCAGCGCACCTTTAAGCAGAAATCACGCACGGAATTAGCATGCACAAAACGAGCGCAGACTAAAATTTATCACATTTCGACACTTGAAGCGTGCTGTTCAAACAGAAAGAAATACGCGCGGAATGAGCGCACAAGTATACAGAGGACAGGAGCAAACAACTGGCACACTTCTTCCTGCATCGTTTGTCCGCAGCGTCCTTCTTTCGTAAACGTGGGTGTGCCAGTGTGTGAACTGACATTTGTCCTCTCCCGAATTAGGTGCCTGTCAAGCGCACGCGCAGGAGAGACCACGCTCCGTGGAGACGGCGTTTCGTGGAGGCGACGACATTTTGAGCGTACCGAACACTTTACAGAACGCGAGCCTGTCGCGTGGCACCTCACCACTGATCAAGAAAACGCGCTAATGTTGCGAAGCTCAGAGCACTGCCGAACCGCGTATGATGTATATAAATGGCTCGTATTTACATCCCAGACAACATACGTTATGTAAAAGAAAGAAGTACGCTTTGTAGCGTAGTAGTTAGTGCCGCCCGCTGAGAATCGAGAAGTTGCTCGTCTTATTGCGCGCCACAGTTGCTTGCCTTCTGATTTTTTTGCTTTGCAATTTCCTAATGTATATTTTTCAACGTCACTTCATTGACAGAAGTACGTCAGCGGAGACGTGGTGAACCCCGGCATAAAACACTTTCGTGTTAAAAATGACTATCCCACACAAGCCGTCATGGCAAATGGCGGCGCTGACTGACGTTCCCCCGTGTATGACACGTATAAACCACATAAATTTTGTGGACGTGGGGATAGCCGCCGTAATAGCTTAGTTGATATAGCATCAGTGGCGTTATACGAAGGTCCCAGGTGCGGTGCTTACCTACGGCAAGTTATCTTTTGTCCACTTTTCTTTCTGCATTAACAGCAGTACTAACAACGTTCCCTCTACTTTCATTGAACCGATTGTCTGTTATATATAGTACTATTATGTCTAACAAACAAAACGAGCCGTCCAATTCACTTTTTCTTCTTACTTGATATACATGACGTTTCCGCTAACTTGCGCGAATGTTAAAACAAGCATGGGCGTTATGCCGATAGAATTTGTGTATTATTAAAGGGTGTCATAGAGAACGCTTCATGATATATCCTTTAATCTGCCAAGGTCGATAATTCACAAACATTGGTTTGCGGACTTTTTTCGTGATAGCTATAGTAAAACGTCTAGAATTTTGAAGTTTTATCAATGGTTTAGAAACTTTGATTTCTAATCTACCCCATGAGAACTTCATTGGCTATTTCGAGCAGCCTTTTTCGAAGTGCTCAATTTAGAAGTCAGACTGTGTTACTGATCACTTGCGGGTGACGCTTTATGTAGCTTCAAATGTAAGTTGAACCAATTATCAAAAGTTACTTCACGTCCAGAACTTGATTTTGCAGGCTGTCGGTGATGCTTGGGGTCATTGAGTGATAGAAGGGGCGTTTAGTTTGAAAATAAAAAAAACTAATCTAGCACTAAAAAGATGACTGCAAAGTGCGAATCAGTTTAATGTCTCCGCGCTTCAATACAAAGTAACTTCCGCCCACTGCAATGCATTTTTGTCTTCATTGATGAGTACATTGATGAAAAAATGACACAGCACCTACGCACCAAGAATTACTGCGCTCTGTCACAAGAAATTCGCCATAGCTGCCGCTGCATCACTGCGCTACGTTTTTTTTATTTAAATGGTTCTTCACTACCCTCACTTAACGTTCATCAAAAACAATACGACAGAGTTCAATTCACCATGTTGCTCCGGGCAGTCTTTGATAGTTAGTTCAACGTACATTTAGGACCACAAAAAAAAACTTGGCTTCTGGGGCTGCAGCCATGTGCTGTAATATTAAAATTTGTCCACCCTATTAAACAGCTCAAAAAATAAGGAGAGGGCTAAGTTAGCAGATGGAAGAAACTTCCGTGTTTCTCAACAAACACTGCAAGTTTTGCATTTCAGAGTTTTCACCACTATTATCATTTAGGCATTTTATTAGGTGCTAGTTGCTAATTACAAAGCTTGGAAGACAAGTAAAACTATACTGACGTGATCTTTACCAATGAGAACAATATTGTAACCTTGGAAAACACGAAGCACTCATGTTAGATTTCTTAAACGTTTGGTTCAACTTAGCTCAAACACCCGGTATACTACGCCTCGTAATACTAGTATGTTCGAAGTTTGGCTACATTGTCTGTATTTAGTGTCATCATCACAAGCGTTTCGCTTTTATGAGTCACCCAATAAATAACCAGATATTACGGTGTATTATATATGTATGTTATCTCAACCATGAAAATTCATACATTTCATGTTTTAGTTTTACAGTAGTAGCCGCCCGTGACGTGCTGATTCCTTGTTGGATCAAGTGTGTCATAGCTAATGGTGAAATTTCGGGGAACATTTTGCATTGGGAGTAGCTAACACTACTGCTCATAATATTTTCCGTAGAGACACACTGTAGCAATGTTTCTTATAAGGTATTATGAATGAACCTTTGCTGGCCATGACTTCGCAGAGTTTACCAAAGTTGTGGTTGAGTCCTACTGGGGCTTTTTATGCTCTATATGCATTCAAATGCGCAACCACTATGGTGTTTTTTGTTGTTTTTGTTTGTTCTGCAGCGTGACAGTGGCGCAGCTGACTTCGCACTATTTATAAAGACCTTTTGTATTGATTGCATTCAATTTTTTTACTCCTCTGTCTCGAACCTATATTTTTCATCACTTAAATTCACGTGGGTATCGTGTTTATTTCACTGGTGGAGGCCGTCTCTCTTCCAGAGAGTTCCGTTCTTGTCTCTTGAATATACATGGTTTCATATCAAACGAGCATAATAATATTAATTGGGAATTGATAGGAAAAACGCAGCTCACCTCTTTGGTAGTAATCATTGAAGAATGTTTCTGCAAAATAAAAATTAATGTGGCAATCAAGATTATCTAAAACAGTCAGGTTGCTAATCTGAAATCTCTGAAACTTCTCTGATTGCAACAGCTCTGAAACCAAGAATACACAGCGTACTTTCTCCCAAAACGCTTGAATCATTCTGCTTGAAAAATAAAGGCGTGGCTGCATGAAATAAAGCTGCATGCGAAAAAAAGTGCAAATAAGCATGACAAGGGAATACCAAATATAGGCACGTTCACTTAGCAAATATATAAATCACGGTATTGCTCAATTGCTTCTTTTTTTCGACTACAGAGACGTTTCCAGGAAGCGCATCATCTTGTTTATACGAGAAGCATTGATAGATTTGTTATACATCATTTTTATTGTTGCATAGGAAGAAAGCAGCTTTGCTTATAAAATTCATATCCATGTTTTATTCATATATTTTTTTTATTGTACGAGTCCAGTAATATCACAGGCATGCGATATTGCGTAACCAACTGCAACAAGAGCAACAAAAAGCTGGAGGTAGAAGAGAGAGAAATAGCAGAGTGGCAACCGCATACCAGAGGCAGCATGGGTTGGAAAAGTGAGAGATGAACACACATGCTAGTGGCGGGGGAGGGGGGGGTGAAGGACACAGAAAGAAAGAAAGTGGCTTTATGCGGTAACTAGTAACGAGCGTATCTATGCACAACAGCACTCATTGCGAAAACATTGAAGACTACTGAACTATAAGACGCAAATTGAGGCAGGCTCCTTGTGATGGTCTACGCCTATTAGCAGTGATAGAATAACCGAATTTGCAACATATTCAGTCAGTCGTACGTTCTCGTGCGAGACGTGAGAAGCAGACCACGCCATTTACAACCACGCCATGGCCGTGGCTGGACGTTTATAAAAAGCGTTTTCTGTCAATAACAATTTGAACAATGAGTCAGGCATACGTAAAACAAAGAAACGGAAGCAATTCCTTTTTAGATGAATGTTGATCTTTTCCTAATTAAAGCACAATCCAGTGCGCGATGATTTCGCCCAGATGGACAGCATATCTTCACATTAGGCCTCCGATCACATCACTTGCAAGAAAGCAAAACTACGTTTGTCTCCATCTCACCGTGCATTGTTTATTTGCGCATAAATTTTCCTTTCACATAAGGCAAATGTAGGGTGCTTTTCGGTGATCGGTTGCTTCATTCCACAAAGAATTTTCGCTAGTCAGAACTCTTTTCAAATACGAGTAAGCTCTGGCAAGAAAGGAATACAACGTGAAGAGTGGTGTTGGAGGCGAATTAGAGGCAGCACATAATAGGTCGCTTTAAGATGCCCCGATTCTGACTGTTTCCAAAAAAGCTAGTTCCTTTTCATCTTGAGGCATCGCAGCCGATATCAGGACGTCCTTCGTTCATTCGTTGTGATGTTTAGGTTCACGCAGATCTCGGCCTGACTGCTTACAGAGAAATTATACGCAGCTTTGCCAATTTGAATTATTAAGCCGTTCGACGATGCTGCAATATCAGCCATGTTTCATTTGCCACGTAGTCTTTCAGACCCTCTCAACCTTTCATGACGTCCACGTACGTATGTATTGCCACGCGTAGTTACTGCTTTATTTGAATGGGTTCGCTTTACACCCACAAAAATTCTTAGCAATGTTGGGCGCAGATGCCATGCCGCAATGTTTGAGGCACTTTGCGCCTGTGCAAGATTACTCTGCGAAACATACGTGCACGAAGTGTATAGACAAATTTATCAGAGAGCTGAAGCGAGATCCACTGATAAAGCTGGATTGTTCCATGCCATATGTATGCCTCACGGGCGAAGCCTCTTCAAAATAACGTTGTCTAGAATACGCATACTTCCTCACTTTATCGCTAGTTTGCTCATGGCATCAGTATCTCTCTCGCTATATATATATCTATATATATATATATATATATATATATATATTTATTTATTTATTTATATACAGCATAGGCACACTTGGGGAACGGAGCTCTCTTAGTGTTCCTTCCTGAATGTTTCCCTAAATATAGGGTAGAGCACAGCTATATTGTGAAGTGAATGCCACCGGCAATTGAAACAGCCATATGTATTCTAAATCCTTGAACTCTTACCTGGATATCTAGTGCCGCATGGCGATGGTGGCGATGGTGGCGAAGGCACTTCTGCGAATTATGAATACAAAATTAAAACCATATATAACAGAATATTCAATAGTATACCATTGTAATATTAATACCACTTATTTGTGTCAAGATCAGTTCGTTTTACACAAGAGTAGTAAAAAAGAAAGATCTCACATCTTCTGCATTCCGTCGCACGCAGAACATGTTATTTGGTTAGCAACGTGCAACACTTACACCAATTGAGCAAGCAATCACGCAGCTTCTCTTGGCTGTTTGTATGTATGTATGCAATATCGCAACATAAAATTTGCTCTACCGAAACATTGGAGAAATGCCAGAGTTGCGTCTTTTCGTTTCCGTGAAATATGCATGTTTACAGCACATTTCTTTACTGTACCTTCAGCTGCAGCATTTCAGCATTTCCGAAGTGTAGTACTAATATGTTGTGGGGTTTCACGTCCCGAAACCTCCATTTGTTCATTTGTCATATATATATATATATATATATATATATATATATATATATATATATATATATATATATTATGAGAGCCGAAGATAAAAGATGAGCGTGAGCATTAAAATGAAAGATTGCCATTTCAACCACGGCGCATCTGTGTTTTCTAATGAACAATTGAGGAAGCAATGTAACACCGGCAACTTAACACTTGTAATTGCATTGCTCCCTTTGTGTGGTGCACACCTAATTTCAGCGTTCAGCGCCAGTTTCATTTTTGTTCAAGCACAGAAGTCATGAAGCATGAGAACTTGTTGAATCTTTGGTCCTATCAAAACTGTCGCATGCTCGTCTCATTAGCGTGTATTTGATGCCAAATGATAACGAAATGTTGTATCTTGCTATAACGGGAAGAACGTGCCATTTACGTGCGTTTTTGTTCAGTGACTGAGCGTCTGCTTATTTATTTGTGCATGCCCCACACTACCCATACTGCATGCATTTATGTTTTTCATTTTCACTTGAAAATCTTTGTTGAAAAATGTGCGCTCGTTCTCGTAATTTTTTACTACGTCTCTATCGTGTAATTTTGCGCTGTTTGCTACCATGGGTTGAATACAAAATCCTTAATCAATACTAAAAAAACGCAGATGTCTGATGTCTCGCTAAGCTGCAACCAGGTGTATATTGGACAAAGAGGGCACTGGTACGCTGAAATAGCGCGCTAACTCAACTGTACCATAAACAATAACGCGGGTGGGCGTATGGCCGAGCACTGTAAGCGATGCAGGCACCGTCCAATTCTTAATCAGCCTATATTTTTGACACAACCCTGGGATGGATGAGAGAGGAAAATAATCAAGGACTTCTGCATTGTGTGCGCAGGATACGTTGGCATTAGCTGCGTGTACTTACAGCACTTCAAGTTAAACAGATTGCTTTCTTGTCGTGATATATTTTTAATATGTCATTCTTGCGATATTAATTTTTTTTTCAAATGTAAGCATTCGTGTTTCTTCAAGCTAACTTGGTTGGTAGTTTGCGCTGGTCTGTTGTAAATGTTTCACTGTAATATCCTCGCGGTTTTTCTGCATAGCGTTTTCACTTAGTCAGCGACACCAACTTTCCCACACCAAGCTACTTCACCTTCAAGGCTATTGTCGATGTTTTAGATAAATGCCCACGCTTTGTTTTAGGAGGACGAAAGTCAGCTAGTCCAAAAATTTTATCCGCCATGTTCTAGTTGAAATTATAGCTTCTTAATGGAATAATTTTTTTGTTCACATAAATACTTACGAGGTAATTGGGGAGGTTGTTGTGGTATTTCTTGAACAGTGTTATCTGAAAAGAAAGGAAGTAGACTAATTTTACTCCATTGTACAAATATTTATGAACTTATGTAATGAATTTCATACGATTTCATTCACAAAAGTTGAGCTATTGCTTGCATAGTTTATCCAGTTTTCAGAGTAGAACGCTCTGCCAATGATGCTAGACTTTCCTTGCTGACCTGGTGCAGAACTTGCCGCCTACCAATTTTAAGTTTCTATTTTAGCAGTAACCTCTCAAGCATATATATATGTCGTAGATGACATTAGTTTTGCCGTGTTCTTAGATTTAGTTGCACAAAAAGAAACCCACATGGATTACTCGTGCCTTATATGAGGATGTGGTTTTGGAATATTAAACAGCAGATATTCTTGACTGCATCCACACCACCTTCCTCATACCTATTATATTGCTGTAACAAACCATTGCGTGCATTTCTTTGTCCTGTATATCATGCCGCTTCCACATCTTTCACCCCTTGTGATAACTACCGCTATGTTTGCTTTGTTTCCGATGCACGCTAAAACACTTTTTCTGCCAAACCTAGGACGTACATTACATTGTTTGCTACACGGTCACTATCTCATGAACTCATGCTATTTTTGTTTATCTGTACACTTGTTTGCTTTTTTGGTATGTACAGGAAGTGTTCAGATACTGTACAATACTTTTTTTTTTCTTAGCGGCCTCAGCATAGACGTCGAATACATACTGGGAGGATGCTTTCACCAATTATATAGGTGTAACACAGCAATGCAGCCTTACAGGGTGCTCATTTCCGCTACCACACCCTAAACATAACAAAGAACAGGCGAACACGTGGCTAATCCTATAGATAAGCATGCTGCCAAGCCCGGGGTTCGTAAATGTTTGTAACCTAGAGCTTTACTCGTCAAGCTGCATGTTTTTTTTGAAGCCAGGGATAATCTGGAATATATCTGGGTTGATTGATTGATTGATTGATTGATATGTGGGGTTTAACGTCCCGAAACCACTACATGATTATGAGAGACGCCGTAGTGGAGGGCTCCGGAAATTTAGACCACCTGGGGTTCTTTAACGTGCACCCAAATCTGAGTACACGGGCCTACAACATTTCCGC